CCCCCCCCCCCCCCCCCCCCCCCCCCCCCCGCGTGAAATCCAGACCTCGCCAACGCCAGTCGAGAGCTCGACGGCTCATTTGAGCAGAGGCTCCCAACCTTGGCGCAAAAAGTCGCCAAGCCGCAGTTTCTCGAAGTCAGGCCGCTCTCATTTGCGCGCATTCACGCGCATGTGTATATGATGGTGTGCGCGCGTGTTTGAAGAAGTGTGCCACACCCCGATTCTGGATGGGAATGAGGATTGAATGAAGAAAACGCCTGTCTTACGGGGTTCACGGCCGAGAAAGCAGCCAGCTCCCCCGAGCCTGGAGAAGGGTAAGCAAGGATTGCTACCCGGTGTTTGGAGCAGCAGGGGAAGGGACAAAACGAAAGTACCGCCGAATGAGCTTTCCAAACTACCTGGGCGAAGGCCTCGTCTTCCAGCCCATGGTGGACACGTCCGACCCTGTCCCTCTCTTGCGTTTTCTCTTCGCCTGATTGCGACGATGAGCAGTCTTGCTCACTTCTCAGACGCCTGCGGTGAGTATCGTATAATACAAATAGTGGGTTGCAAATTTGCAGAAAATAGGGGTTTGATGGTAACTTGTTGGTCTCGGGCTGCGCGAAGACCCGGTCGATGGGCCAAAGGAGCCGGAGCCGGTAACAAGGCCCCCAGGCCTCGATGGACAAGACTGCGATGCAAAGATTGAAAGCCTCTTGATGTGACAAGAGAAGTAACTCGGTGAAGAATGTACGGGGGGGAGGACGTCGAGTCTCCACCATGAGTCGGTTCTTGCGCGTTTCGCGTTGTCGAACCAACTGTGTTCGTGTTCCTGTTGCATAGTCAATGGTAGGTCTGCCGCCCTCAATCATTCATTAACAATAAGTATCCTGCGGGATAAGTCAAGAGCCGGAAGACCTTTCAGATCAATCGCCAGGATATGCTGGGCCCCGGCGCCATATGGGGTATTGGGGTTAAAAGTGCTGAGGTCTGCCTGGGGGCGGAAGGGATCCCGCTGCTGGAAAATCTGGATGATCCCTTCGCCGTGCCTCTTCCTCTCAACCAGCAGAGAGCAAGGACCCATGTTTAAAAAGAGAAGATTGAATAAGAGGAGGGATAAACGACCACCGTGCCACCCTCGCACATCGGCCGGCCGGCTTGCGGGCTGGATTCCGCTCCCGTCGCTGATTTTGCCCATGTTCAGCAAGATATGCCGGGGTTCCTCGCTAGATTTTCGTCTCGGTGGAGCGCTCTGGTGCTTGTGAATAACATCGCCGGGCAGCAGAAATCATCGTCATATCGCGACTCGACAAAAACGCAACTTTAGCTTCTCGTTGGTCATGTTTGCGCGACCAAGGAGCTGGTTGAGAGGCTGACACCTCTGGCGTGACCGGAAAGGGGGTTTTCTTTGTAAATCTTCCAGGAAGTTGTAATTGGCTTCATCCACTCGAAGCGATGTGCATAGCCGCCGACGACCGGGCAGGCGGGCGCGCTGGGCGGCCTGTCAGCATCATTGCTGCGCTGTGCTCCCAAGGCGCATGTGCATGTGGATTGGGTGGGTGGTGGTGGCCGGCGATCCCTCGCATGCGCAAGTGCACTGGTTGACTGGGCAGATTGTGAAAGATTGAGAAGCCCCCCTGCTCGCTGACGCTGTTCAATCTGGACAAAAGAATGCCATTATGCGGTGTTTGTGCCAAAGTTCCGTTACACGCTCAATGTGGATGACAACGGGCCGAGGACGAGCGCGAGGGATCCGGCATGGAGTAACAAAACAGTGACGGCAAACAACGGTGTCGCTATCCTAATGCCCGAATGGCTATTTCAGGCTGTTGCGCAAAGTTTGCTGTCGGCTTTCCTAATTGTTAGATGTGATGCTCAAAGACGTGAAACAACTGTGAAAGCATTTGCCTCGAGCAAGAGATGTGATCAGCTCAGAATGACGCTGCGTAAGGTAGCTAGGAGAAGGTCTCTGTGTTGAGTTCGGCCTGCGTTGATTCTTGAATGACGAAGGAAGCAGATCGGGAAAGTCGCTCGCTCAGTTCTCTTGCGGTGGTATTAGAGATAGACCCTGTCAGACCAAAGGCTGTTTGGGGTCCCCTGGCTTGTGCTCAAATGCCAGTGGAGGTGATCAATGCTCAGCTTGGCGACATGCAGGGCTGCTGCAACGGCGAGACCATGGTCGCATCACGATACTGCGCCGGTATGACGCGGGAATGGGGCCATGGTTAGGTCCGGTGGTTGTACAAGGTTGCGTACAGTGAGAGGAAGGTCACAGCCAACGCGGCGTTTCCTACCGGTACGTCGCGTGCGTCGTGTTGAAAATATGCAGACCGGAGGATAGGCATTGCTGAGCAGGTCAAGATCGCGTGTGGTATATCTGGTGGATGCGCCTGTACGCCGCGGCATGTATGATGCGGGAACGTTAGCTGTACTATCGTGATCCGTTCAAACGTGGTGCGGGAGCGGTGCGGTGCGGTGCCACCAGAATACAAGCATAAAGTGAAGTTCGTGCATGCGTGACGTTACGCTCAAAGCTGTCCATGTCCAGTATCCGTACTCCGTTTGCGAGCACTGGATTCGTGACGTCCGCAAACACACTTAGCTGAGGCGAGGCGAGGTAGGGATACCGGTTGCGTGCCTGCCATGAAGCTCCTCCAAGCTCTTTTGCGACGGCTTCTTCGCTGGTTTGGTTGATTGCCATTGTTGTTCATCCGTTGATACAGACTGGATACGAGCAAGAGCATGGGATAAAGTCGGTTTGCGTGACGACAGGCGAGAGTCGTATCGAACGGCTAGGCGAAGCCGCGCCGGACCAATATAGTCGAGATCAAGGTCTTCCACAAACCTGGTCAGTGTGTTTTCAAGTATGATGCCAGGTTCCTGGAGCCACGAACGGCGGGCAGAGCCGGAAGTTTTGACGAGACGAGACGTTAGCCTCGTCAGTGTTTCCCGGTCGCCGGTGTGAAGCAGAGTGCGCTTCGTCCGAGCTTTGAGCCTAGGTGGTTCGCCTTGCTCGTGCTGCCAACCCACAATATCTCGAGAGGGTCCAACCAGGTTCCCCTAGCTTAGCTCGTCTGTCTGTCCAGTCTACCTCCACTTGGTATGCTGTTCTCGTTCCCGTTCCTGTAGAGGGTTCGAAGGCAGTGAGAAATGGGCCCTCGGTGGTGGTGGTAGTGGTGGTGCTTGAGTTGAGAGGAATGAGGAGTTGGAAAGTTGAGAGTTGCAAAGCTGGAAGCTGCCCGGAAACTGGGATACCCGTC